GGGAGTGGTAGTTCCCTTCGGGAGACGCCCTCCCGCGTTGCGTCACCGGGCCCCGGGAGGCGGGGCCGCGCAAAGCCTGCTGGGGGATGTAGTCGCCGCGGGCTGTCATCGCGCAGGGAAACCCCTTTTTCAAATAGGCGTGAAGCATTTCTTATCCTTGTGGGCCAAGCTCGGGGGACTTCGCCTCCCCCACATTAAATTGCAATGCAAAAGACATCATTTCCCCCTTTTTAATCTATTTTGGATAGAAACAGATATTCTCCTTTTTATCTCTTCTGGTCTTAGTCTAGGTTTAAGAGGGTGGTCTTCCCCATCTCCGGGCGAGGCTTTCAAATAGGCGTGAAGCATTTCTTATCCTTGTGGGCCAAGCTCGGGGGACTTCGCCTCCCCCACATTAAATTGCAATGCAAAAGACATCATTTCCCCCTTTTTAATCTATTTTGGATAGAAACAGATATTCTCCTTTTTATCTCTTCTGGTCTTAGTCTAGGTTTAAGAGGGTGGTCTTCCCCATCTCCGGGCGAGGCTGTTTCCTTCCAGCACCTTTGGTCTCCTTGCAGCTTCCTTCATTCTNCCCCCCAAAGTGGTAGACAGGAGGACAGGAAGGCAGCCGCCCCAAATGGAGGCACACCTCTGGACACAAAGCGAGCCGCAGCGTCCAGCGTGAGATGGCCACGGATCAATGCAGGGCCCAGGCTTTCTCCACGCTGACCCCACAGAAGACCCAGAAGGACTTGCTCTCTCTGCACGTTTCCCGAGAGCTTAAACCCATTCGGAAGATTTTTTTTCCCCCAGTTGCAAACCAAAGTGTCAATTTGCAAAACATTCCTCACATGTGAACTTCGGAACTTCTGCTGGCACACAAGAACTGTTTGAAAGAATGAGGGTTTATTATTATTATTATTTTTGCAAAAATATATGTACACACAGCCTGAAGAAGTGCACCCATGAATACTCTTAACAATATTGCTTGAGAACATTTCGAGTTATGTACATCTCATGTTTTTGCTGCAAATATAAAAGTCCTTTGTTTATTCCTTTATTTTTTTTTAAAGCATCAGCTATCATCAATGCATTTAAACACCCCAAACCATCTGAAGTTTAAGAAGAGCAAGGATCTCATTCTAAATAAGCTGCACATCCAAATATTTCAGAAGACACAGAATGACAGTTGTATACACTTGCAACCGCTATCTGAAATGCACAACACGAGACCTAACCAGGCCTACACTCAAGTCTTAAGATGTATCTTGGAGCCAACCCGCTATTTTCTAAATGTTTTCTGTATGCAGCTGGGTCATATTCTAGAAACGCAACCAGAACACATTCTCATACTTACCATTTCCTCTCCTTTGAATCAGACAAAGACAAATGGCAAAATTTAAACAAGGTTTGTTCTTAAATCATGTTAAATCTGGAAAGGTTCAGATGTACTAAAGCATGCAAAGATTTCCTGAGATTTTAATCACTTAAATGGCTGGACAGGTCTTTTACAACACTGCTGGCTCTTTTTATATATATAAAAAACATGAAAGCAGCTGGGGAAAAAACCAGCCCATCTTTCAGGATGAATTAGCCACTGATATCCAGCAAAGTGGTTCTCCCTCTTTTAATATAAAAAGGCTGGATATTTCTTTAAGACAAGAAGTACTCAAAAGCAACGGGCAGTCCAGTAGCAAAACACTGTCACCGATACTGTTAACAGGCCAACACATTTTCTACTCTGTGACTCTCTTCTGTGAGATCACAAAAGCAGAACTGTTTCAAAAGCTCCTTATCCAGACATTACAAAAATACCGACATTTATTTTAAAATACAACCAAAACGGCACATCTTTTTTTTTCCCCTCATAAAATAAACTGCAGTGATTTTCACTTGTTTAAAACAGTGGCATTTTTCCCCTTTTGCCTAAACCCTCGGGGGGTGGGGGGGGAGGTTAATACAAATGAAACAAAGCCACTTCTCTGAAAATACAGGTGATTTTGTTATGGTTCAGAAGTTCTTTGTAAAACTCAATTTTCTTTAAAAAAGGAAACGGCCACCTTGTTTCTTCAAGGCGTTTACATAAAATCCATTCAAAAACACTGGCTAGTGACGGGAGGGGTGCCACTTGCCCTCGCGGTGGCTCTCCCTCCGGTTGTCGTAATCTTGGCTCCAGCCTCTGTAGTTCCTGTCGTCATGGCCATACTCATCTCGACTGGCCCGGAAATGATGCTCTGAGCCACAGTCCCCAGACCGCTGATGCTCCCGGGTATAATGCCGACCTTCAGCCTGGTAGGGGTGGGAGCTCACCCGATTCTTGCGGCTCTCTGGGTGCCGCGGTGGGGGAAAGGCGTAACTCGGCTGGTGCCCTGGAGAAGCAAAGCCGGACGACTCTGAATGCAGAGAGCCAGACCTCCCGCTATACGGCAACTGCTGCCACATAAGGTTGTTCATCTGGAATGACAAACAGGCTGCTGTTATGAAAAGATATATGGGGAGTGGGGAGAGAGAGCGAGGGAGGGAAGGAAAAGAAGAGCTCAAAAGCCATGCACACATTATAAAATGCCAATGGTGAAAGGTGAAGAGGAACAACGAAATAAAAGTGCACAGGAAGAAAGATGTGTTAAAATTAGCGTGAACTACCATGCGATCCACCCTCAAATCCTACAACCAGATAAGATGGGGAAAAAAGCATCAAGCGGGCGAGACCACCACATTCCTACATCCATTTGATCCAGTGGCTCCCAAGCCACCATCTGCTTTCCCAAAGCCTACCAAGCACAAGGCCAGGCTTTGCATCCAACAAGAAAATTCACAGCCCTCTCAAAGTTACACAACCGCAACGTGAGGGGACACAAGCCTGCTGGAAGCCGACAGCTGAGGCAGAAAGCAGAGAAACACCATGTCTTGAGGAAACAAGCCAAAAGCGAGCCCAGTAAATCACCATCTCCTTGAGGACCCATATCAAAGACAGCAGGCAGCAGAGAAGGGAGTGTGGAAGAGGGACAGAGAAGTGGTGTTGAAGAAGTCAATTCTCCTTCCATGCACAAAACAGGCTAGCGGGAGGGGGGGGGAGAACTCTTTCCACCACTGGCACTAAGACTTTTCTCAGCAAAAGGCAGGCTCGCTTCATACACTTGGGAAAGGGGCATCTGATAGCCAGTCTATCACACTGGGAGCTTCTCTAAGCCTAATTCGTAGCCTTCAGGAAGAGGATGAATCTGCTAATTAAACGAAAGGGGCATCTGATAGCCAGTCTATCACGCTGGGAGCTTCTGCAAGCCTAATTCATAGCCTTCAGGAAGAGGATGAGGATGAATCTGCTAATTAAATTAAGTGCTTTTAAACCACAGATGGTGCTGAAGGAGGGGAGAGTAGGGCCCAACAGGCCTTCACAATCCTAAGCCCTCAGCAACATTTCCTGCCACCAATAAAGTCATTTATCACTGGCATCTGCCTCAGACGTTCGAGGCACTGTTGTGCATGCAAGTACGAGAAGGCTGCCCTTAACAGGAGAGCACACGCACTCACGCATGCATGCATGCATGCACGCACACACACGGTCCCAAATTGCCTAACTTCCAATCCTGGACACAGCCCACCTATCAGACACCCTATAACCAGTAGTTTAGGACTTCCTGCTCTGTCCCGGCCAGCCCCTGCTTCCATTGAAACTGTTTCCCAATGACTTTGGAAGAAAGAACTCTCACCACAGCCTGTCTCTGGAGGTTTTCTGGAGAGGAGAAAGACCTCTGGATAGTTGTCAACCCTGCTGACATGTTATCCATGTTCCTCTCATATCTGTGAAGACAAATTTAGTTTTTGTGTTTTTTTAAAGTTATACAGAAATCATGTACAGATCAAGTTGTTGTTAACAGTCAGTTATACTTTGGAACTCTGCATTTCATGGAAATTAAGGTATTTGTAAACAGTTCTACTGTTCTTCTCTCCCAGTCTGTTGCTGTTTTCAAAAGATATTTCCAAAATAATGAAAAAAAAAATAAGACTGGATCACTAGAATCCTAGAAAGGACCAGTTTTTTGAGTCCTGCAGAACTCTGCCAGCAGCTGGTCACGGCAAACCCTGGAAGTGGTGGCAGAAAGAGAGAAGCCCAAACATCATGGAGCTGCTGGATCTTGGAGCTGCTGGATTTGAAGTTAAACTGAACTTCCAACAGGAAGCCTGCATACTTTGGAAAATCAGCTGGGCAGATGGATGGTGTCTGATTTCACCTCAGGGGATATAAAAACCAGCAGTCTTGTTCCATTTCTATAGACAGAAGGTTGTTAGAGAGGATGAAAAACACATTGACTTCACATCCCCTGAAGTGAGGCTTGATGGCAGCTCACTTCGAGCGGATTCTTCACATTTGCAGCCTCCACCTGGCAACTTAAGAGTTCAACTTAGTTTAACTCCAGATCCTACGGCTTGAATCTCCCCACCTGGCAACTTAAGAGTTCAACTTAGTCAAACTCAGTTTAACTCCAGATCCTACAGCTTGAATCTCTAGCCAGGATGAACAGCCACCTCCAGGACCCTCAAAGCCTAGCCTGATGAAGACTCGCTCCTACCAGTTCCCAAAGCTTGCCTTTTGAAGTCATTTTACTAATTAATACACTATTGCCAAACTCTGAGCTTTTGCTCACATATCTGTGCTTGTGCTTGTTCTTCAAAATGATCAGGAAGCAGAACACCATAAGTCCAGGCATCATCATCATCACTATGATCTATCCCCACTTATCTGCCAAAGAACGCAGGACAGTGAATGGGGCTCTTCACTTCCTCTTACTTTTAACCTCTCATCTATACTGTCAGATAAAGCACAGGGAATAGTTCAAGCTGAACTAGCACGTTTTGTCACCGAGTGCAGGGTTTGAAGGCATGTCTCCTTGATTCCTGCCTGGCCTTGTAACCATCCCTGACAAAACGGTAAAGCTTCAAAGCCAGTTCTTCACTCTATGTGTGAAACAATGCCTCTGAGCCAGCTTTATCAATGGAATGAATTCCAATCAACACTCCTCTTAAAAAATTCCAACCAGAATACAAGCAAGCAATCTGCTTCCACTTAATCTTCAATTTTGTAACTGACACATTTGTCAAAGCAATATAGAAGCAGACAGCAGAGGCCCCGGGAGGTTTCTGGTAATTGTTTCTCTTAATGTACTCCCAACTCTGCATCTCAATTTAGTAAATTTTGAAAAATATTCACACCTTTCGACAAGACAGCTTCGGAAACAAGATTTTAGAAGTGTCATGTCAAAATTTGCTTAATAGCACCTAATTTATTTATGAAGCTGCTCTAGAAACAAATGCTGCTACTTCTTAATAATGCACCTCCCATCTCAGTACTATTACTTAATTTTTACCCTAGACAGACAGATTTTGTCCACTTACAAAGGCACCAGAGATGTTATCAAGTTTAAAGTGGCCACAAGGAGCAGTAACAGAAACCTAGTTTAAAGTGGCCACAAGGAGCAGTAACAGAAACCTATGAACGCAGAGTCAGAAATAAGCCCCCTTGAGATCAGTGGGATCCATATATCCTAATATCCTGCATTTTTTAAAAAACTAGCACAACCAAGATCCAGTTGGATGCTGCTGGAGCACAATAGCGAGCCATCTGGGCCAGCACTGCCAGTGGCTAGAAACACTGGCATCCACATGGATGAAGAGCAGTGCGCCCACCCTTGTTGTATAAATAAATAAATAAATAAATAAAGCTTCACCTGTTGCTGCCAACTGTGGCTGACAGTGGCTGAACACTGGAGGGGCTTCCGTTAGCAGAGGCGTGCTGGGTATAGGCCAAACTGCCATCTTGGGAGGCGTGGCTGCTCCCTAAAGATAAAAAGAGGTTGTTGTTGTTGTTTTTTTAAGGGAAAACAAATATCTCACACCCTAGGAAGACACAAGTTGCGACCGACGGAAACCATGGGGCATTCTTTGTTTGTTCTGGAGGTATCACTCCAGAGAACTGTCAAGACACACAAACAGGTTTCCAAAACAAGTCTTGCAACCTCCTGGAATACCCAACGGTGTTGAAGATGCAATCGCGATGCAACACCAAGGATAGTTAGCCCCAAGCTCAGGAGTAGGGAGTCTCCATCACAGAGAGGCCAACCACATTTCTTCAAGTGAAAAACCTGGAAAAATCTCCTGGACAATATGCAAGGGGGAGAGGAAAGAAAAACTGAATTTCCGTTGTTAAAAAAAGAAAACTTAGCAGTTCACTGGAGTTAGCCATGGCTGTAATCCAATCCACTACTCCACTTCAGAGTTAACCAGCCCAGAGGTGGAGGAATGGAATTCACACTATTTGTGGTGCCACGCTTCGTACCTAATATGAATATGAAGCACCCGTGCCTATATAGTCATTTGAACTACTTCCAGGCTCTGTGGCAAATTTAATTAGTATGGATGAATTATGAGCCAAAAATATATATATACTGTACATGGAGAGAACTTTAAACATCCTTTGCCCTAGACTATCCAGGAAGTGGTAAACAGTTCATGGATACCTGATCGGAACTGAATTTTGAGAGGTCTCCCAAAAAGCTTGATCCCATTGAGTAGACTCATGCTGTAGGGAACCGATTCTTCATGTTTGAAATTCACAAAGGCAAACTGTTTTGCTTTCCCATCCCGGTCCTTAGGGATTTTCACTTTAATAACTGGGCCAGCCTGCGAAGCAAGACACAAAATGTTTGACTGAAATATGGGACAACCTTCCCCTTAACGTCAGGTACCTCTCTTCCAACACAAGCCCTTCAAAACAGCAGTGTTGGTTTGAATTTTCAGTACGGCGAACCGTCACCAATCAAAGGAAAGCGACCACCGGTGTTCTCTTCTTCAATGGCTGATTCTTTGCAGTTTTAGTTCTCCAAAATAAACCCTGGAGAGCAGGTGTCAGTCATAAACTCAAATGGGCAGATGAATGTACAAGGAGCCCACTGGATTCATCTGAATGCCTTTTTTTACCATCAGTTTGCTCACACAGGGACTAAGCTGTTGCCTAAGAAACCTCTACTCTCACATTAAAATATACCGTATTTTTCGCACCATAAGACGCACTTTCCCCCCACAAAACAGGGGGGTGGAAAGTCTGTGCGTCTTATGGAGCGAAGAAAACAGATTATATTTTCCTGTTTTCTTCTCCTAAAAAATTGGTGCGTCTTATGGAAAGGTGCATCTTATGGAGCGAAAAATACGGTAACAGTTAATCTTTACGGTGCCACAAGTTGTTGACTTGTTTTGTTTCTTTAGATTTTGCCTGATATATTTGCACAGACTAACACGGCTACCTCTTCCAAAACTACAACTCTGGCAGGACAGTAAAACAATGAGGTCCTCCACCTCGTGCTTCTTGGCAAAGAACGCACAGAGGGATTCTGCTTCTGATACAAGAGGTGGGCCGTATGATTCTGAAAGGGACTGTGTCTTGTCTGGACAGGGAAAGAAAAGGCAAACAGCATTTAAGAGGTGGCAGCATCATGAAAGGCCAAGTCCTTCACCAAATCACTGCGAGATGACACTGTTGTTTAGTCGTGTCCGACTCTTTGTGACTCCATGGACCAGAGAGCACGCCAGGCCCTCCTGTCTTCCACTGCCTCCCAGAGTTGGGTCAAATTCATGTTGGTCGCTTCGGTGACCCTCTCCAACCATCTCGTCCTCTGTCGTCCCTTTCTCCTCTTGCCTTCACACTTTCCTAACATCAGGGTCTGTGGGATGATACTACCACGCCTCAAATGCAATCTCTTGCTAGGGCCATGCTTTGGTTCAGCACGCACACACACACACACCGACCCAACAACATCTCAGGAGGATCTAGATATTGGAGAAGAAGACAAGAGATGAGCTCTAAGTGTTGACTAAAGCAGAGTGCCTTCACAACGGCTGGATAAATGCAAATACCAGTTGAAACAAAGACATAGGATTTCTAGCTCTCCCAGTTGTGTTTCCAGGTGTGTTTTCAAATTGTAGAGTGTTTTGAGATTTGGTCTGGGGTTGTTGTTTTTTTTGGGGGGGGGGGAATCCACAGCTGGATCTTCTTTTAAAAGGGTAGAAAAGGGCTGGAAAAAAAGAACCAAGGAGAAAAGCACCGACCCAACAACATCTCAGGAGGATCTAGATATTGGAGAAGAAGACAAGAGATGGGCTCTAAAGTGTTGATTAAAGCTGAGTGCCTTCACAAACGGCTGGATAAATGCAAATACCTGTTGAAACAAAGACATAGGATTTCTAGCTCTCCCAGTTGTGTCTCCAGGTGTGTTTTCAAATTGTAGAGAGATTTGGTCTGGGGTTGTTGTTTTTTTTGGGGGGGAGAGGAAAAATCTGCAGCTGGATTTTCTTTTAAAAGGGTAGGAAAGGGCTGGGAAAAAAAAACCAAAGAGAAAAAGGAAATGAAACCCAAAGGAGGAGGAGGAAGGAGTCGGGTTTTTTGTTTGTTTTTTAAAAAATATTTGCATACTTTTAATTTTTTCCCCCAATATTCGTATACTTGCTCTTTTTAGTTTCCAGATAACGATCTTTTTTAGGGATGGGGTCTTTGCGAAGGGTTTGTTTTTTAAAAAATATTTGCATACTTATAATTTTTTTCCCCAATATTTGTATACTTGCTGTTTTTAGCTTCCAGATAATGATCTTTTTTTAGGGATGGAGTCTTTGCGAAGAAGAAAGGCGCGGTGAAAATACTTTCAATAAATGAAAGTAAATGAAGAAGGAGCCATGAAAAGGGGAGGAGGGGAGATTACCTTTCTCGGACTACCATACCCATCCTCCCCACTCCGTTTGATCCTCAAGTAGAAAGAAACCAACAAGTTTCCAAAATAGGAACCACAAGAGAAAAGGGGGGGAACCCGCGCTCTTTTTTTGGGATAAGTTACTTTTCCTAACTACAGCACCCCTTACAAGGTGACGCGCAGCGGCGGGGGGGATTCTGGGCCTTGTAGTCCAAAGGGCAGCTTCTCTCCGAGCTGCGCTCCTCCTGGAGACCCAGCCACCCCCCCTCGGCCTCTGAGCACGGGCAGAGTGTCCACCGTCGCCGCTGCCGCCGAGCGCTCCCTGCCAGGTAGGCCGGCCTGAGGCCCGAGGCCTGCCTGCCTTCCCTCCTTCCCTCCCTCGCTCGCTCCGAGGCCCCGGGTACCTGGTGGAAGAGCTCGAAGAGCAGCTCCTCGGTGACTTTGGGGTCCAGGTTCCCCACAAAGAGGGTCCGGTCCGCCTCAGCCGCCGCTGCTCCCATGGCTTCGGCCTGCCGGCGAACCCACGACGCATGCGCGCGCACCCCGCCACCGCCAGCGGACGGGAATTAAGTCCTAGAGCGCCCGCCGAGTGCGCAGGCGCGGCTCCGGGTGTGCGAAAAGCCTGGAGCGGCCCTTCCGCCGCGAGTGCGCAGGCGCAACGCAGGCTGCCGCGCTGTCCGGAAGCGCAGTTTCTCCAGGCCGGTGGGAATTGGGTTGTGCCTTTATTGCGCAGGCGCAGCCCCGAGAAACGAATTCTTTCCAGAATATATTCGTTAAAAGCTACGCTTTTCACACCGTTCTTCCCTGACGGCATGGCCTGGTCTTTCCTCAGGCTCTCGAGGGGGAAAAAAAGGCAGATAAGCAGAAATTCTCGCTGCTTTCTCCCATCAGAAAATGGAGGCTCCGCCCACTGGGACAAGACCACGCCCCTTTATTTTTTAAAAAAAAACCACAGCCACAGAGTCTTGTGTCACCTGGGAGGCTGGCACAGTTTATGTGGCAGAAATTGTCATGACCTGTT